ATAGGTATGTCTTATGTAGTGGCTTGTATACTGTTTCAGCGTCCCTATCCTTTCATTTGGACCCGTTCTCACTGAATTGGTGCCAATAATTTTCTCCGAAAGGGTATTCATATTGTTTGCCTCACCAGCTTCAAACCAAAATTAAATGACATTGCAGTAGCAAGCAACTGGGGAGTGCTGGGAGTGGGATTTTGTGGTGTGCATGCATTAAGTATTAAAAAGATTGGTATTGGTCCATTTCCTCCTGGGATGCTCCACGTATCCGACTTTCATTCAGAATCGTATCGGCCTATGAATATGTGCTTAGGCTGTACACTGAATTATCTTCGGGCTATTATTACATAATGACTTAGATATGCTGTTGATGTGAGCTTTTTATCCTATGAGGTGACCGACTCCGTGGGTTGGAAGGTCTGGCTTAGTCAGGTAGGACTAAATCTGAGATCCTACCCCGTACCATAGACATGATATTGCGCTCGTTTCGTATGTATCTAAGTTATATAAGATAAAGGATAAAGCATTTGCCGTTGATCAATCCCTTTTGGGATGCGGCACGCATTCTACTTCCATTTGTACATTCGTAGTGGCATTTGAATGCGATGTGGCCTATACAATGACTTGCGGGGGCCAGCCGATGTACAAGTCAGTGTTTTTTATCCTCCCAGACAAGTCTGGTACCAATTACCGACCCCGGAGGGATGGAAGGCTTGGTTGGCCCGGGCGATCAAACATAGGGACTCGATCCCCGGACCGCTCGCGTGGTAAGCGTTCCACTTGCCACTACACCACTTCCGCCCTCGAAATCCGCGTAAAACATATAATTAGAGACACTTACTGTGGGTCCTACCTCTTTCGGTGATTGTTCCGCCTGATTATTCAATGGAACTTTACAATTACAGGACCCTGCCGATACCTCGACGATCTGCAATGTCGGCCTCGCTTTACTTGTCGTGGCTGGAGATGATCAGCCGAGACCTCCCTCCAACACTTCTTGTCCGGGGGAATCGAACGTCCGTTTTGAGTTATTTTGAATAATATGTACATATTTACTATGGCTCTTTTGTCGACATAATTCATTTCTCTTCGATTTATACTTCCTCTTTCTTCTCCGATGCCGGTTGTGCTCCTCTTGGTATCTCTTACGCGAGCCTGATGTCTATAGTCGAGTGAAGACAATCACCGGTCTAGTATTTTTATGTTGTTATTATTTTGTTAATGCTTGAGACATAGGTTCTGACTGTGAGATAAATGTTTCGAAATCTGTTTCTATCATGGATTGTCGAAGGCGTCGCATCATCGCTAAATCACCTGCCAGATCGACTCTTGCCCAAAGTCAACCGAACCTTTCACCTCTCCGAGGTCGCTATACAACGTTCGCGAGGGAATTAGTACCTGTCAAGGCTTTGAAGACAGATTTCACGATGAAAAGGTCGCTAAAGAAATAAGGGTAGAGGTGGTCAGTGAAGCAGGGATGAAAGATAGAGACGCATAGAAACAGGCGACCCCGGAGAATGGACCGGCCATTAACTCGCCTCTTGTTTCTCGTTGGTAAGATTCTCATCGTTGTGCGTTCTTCAACGCTAGTGCTCTCTACTATCTAATCACTCGCTGTTTCTAACCTGCGGCGAGCGATCAGATAGTCGATAGGCGTTCCAGCTCATCTCTGCACGACCGTCGGGAAGTTATGCCATGCTAGGGGTGCGCGGGGATTATATTTTTCCCATGCGAATTTTGTGTCTGTCCACACCTTAGGGAGTTCCGCCTGTCTCTCTCACTACATAGTAGCTTCCTCTCCGATCGAATCCTCCTGTAAGCATTGTGACTCACTGCCAATGTCGGCGGAACGGCTCACCGCACCATATATCTTACTGCTGATAAGCTATGAATAGAATATCGTCAAGAGTACATAACGTTTGAGTGAAACCCGTGGCCGATGGGTGAATCGATAGCTGCTCAGAACGCAAATGGTGTGGCCTAAACTCTTGCTTTGCTTTGCTCATAAACCAACGTTCTCGCGACTATGCCTATATGCTAGATGTATAGTTGTTCTGTTTTGGTAGGCAGGGATGGCCGATTGATTGAAAGTGTAGATTCATGTCTGCACCTCTAAAACACCGCGAGTTCGATTCCAGCCGAGGCTTCAAAGCATGCCCCAAAAATCAGCCTATCAAACTGCTAAAATATTTCTGATATCAGCGTCAGGTCCAGGTTGACAGGCCGAACCCAGTCGCACCAACCAGCTAATGAGTTGCAAAAGAGTGAGCGTTAATGTTAGGGACGTCACCTGCAAGTGGCGCGCAGAACCCTCGCCCGAGTTTTGAGGTCAGTATGCGAGGACTGCCGCACCGCGACGCGGACCGGCCTCCGGCCGCAAGAGGCTCATGTGCTCACTCCAGGGCTGAAACATCCGTCCGAGGAAATCCTCTGACACGAGCGGCTCTGCGCTTACTTAGGCTTGGTCATGAGGGGTGTCGTACTCGGGGGGGTCAGTAACATCAGTGGTGCAGATAGGAGTAAGAGGGTGTAGCGCAGCAGAAAACGAAGATATGTGAGGAAACATGATTGAAATATTCTTTGCAGGTTCATTCGCTGCTTTGTATCTACTTCATGGTGAAGGACGCTGTAGCAAGAACGACTAGTTTCAGGAGGTCTCGGACAAATGAAGCTCTTTCTTAAGTTACAGGAGTTATGAGATGTGTTACACTTTCTGTCAGCAGGTCAACATCATATATAACACTTTTCAATAGATTCTATAACTGAAGTGGAAGTCGAATGCATGGCCTATACTGAGACGACATCGGGCGATGACAATTGCCTCTTTTCTTATTGCTTATGTTGAAAAAAATGTATTCTAGACTTATTTCGAGCGTTTTCCAACGTCGCACCAGCAATGGTGAAGGGGAGCAGATTTTTGAGCGGCTGAGAATCATCTTTGATAGATCCTCGACGCAAACATCTCCTCAATTAGACAGTGTATGAATAAAAAAGACCATATCTAGAGAGCGTAAACCTTTCCGCTTCCAAAAACTGTTCTTCTTGGCGAATGAGAGAGATGTTGCCTTTTAAGTGGAAAAAAACTCGCATGAAAATTAGAGACTATACCACTGCGAATAGAAGGCTTTGGTACAGCAATTCCAATACTGTCTGATAGTAGCAAATTTAGCTCTATCTAACCCTACCGTGTGTGTTGTTCAACCAGGTTTGGAAATGATGGAATTGAAACTTATATTTCAGCAAATATACAAAAGTGTGCAGCGATGAAAGAAAGCGCAAAGATGACAAGAGAAAGCGTTTATAACATTATTTTGCAGAAATTTCTTTGATTAATTAATTGCGTATGCTCCGTTTTAGAGGGGATCGTGCCAAGACCTCTATTTCAGGAGAATGCGGGGTGTCTTTGCAGACCACGTCCTCAGACGCCGAATTTTTATCTCTGGTCCGAATTGGGCTCTACTCATGATCGCTAACTGGGAAATCCCGTTGGGATCCAAATGGATGAGAGGGTTTTATTAGCAAAATTCCTCGGACAAGTGGCTCAGTACTACATGTCTGAAAGCTCTTACAATTCGCGCTACGCTTCAATCAGAAATCTCTCTTGATTCTTCGACTACTGCAGCGTGCGTGAAATTGGGAAATGCTCTCAGCTATTGTGTGGTCTTTTAGAACTTCGGGCTGAGCAAAAAATTATAAACCTTTCCTTATGACGCGATCCACATAGCGTGCCTTAAAGTAACAGTCCCACTATAGAGTTATTATCTTCCACTGTAATGGTATGGAACGATGCGCTAGCACTAGTCAAGAACGTGAGAAGTGTGACAGAACAAAAAAACTACCTTGAAAGCGGCTAGAAAGGGAGCGGAACGGCTTCCGGGGACCATTTTGAACCAAGTGCGCTGGGGAACCACCTTGTTCAACCTGTAAATACGAGTGTAAATATTTATTTACATTTACATTTCATATTTACTAATTGGGAAGTGAAGGGATAGTTCTTCCTGGTGCATCGATTCTTACATTTGCGGGTAGCTGTCCAACAGTTGCCCTTTTTTTGCAGTTTTTGGCAAAGCACCAAACTGTTTTTTTTTACCGAAAGCTTTTCTTTTGAACTCTCCGACAAGGGTGAATAAACAGTAATTCGAAGTGAGGAGGTCGGTAGATGTTTGGCACAGGCAGAGTTGTGTTTCTATTTGCTCAACCATTATGAAGTCTACAGCAACTGCTGTTCGGCTATGGTTGCTCAAAAACATCCACTTTAGTGAGAACTACAGGCAACACTCGGCAAACGAGGTCTTCCAGCGGATGAGTCAGCAGCAGACCCGAAACTCGTCCCTCTATCAGTTCATCTGCTGACTGAACTTTTAAGCCTCCTGTAGTTCTTTCTCCAGCATAATCGCAGTTACGATTCGGAAACCAGCCCTCTAGCTCTCGCATACCCAACTCAAAAAACCACAACAATGATAAATGTTACAAATACACTTTTATTTAAATGGTTGTAGGAACAGTTGCAGCTTTAGAGAATTTTACTGTCATTTTGCCGCGTATAGCCTTCTTTAATTATGTTCTTCGTACAATTATACGACTTAAACAGTAACCAATGATACCCGTTGATGATTGTTGATAAACCTCTCTGGCGTGTGCTACGCATCTCACTACTTTGCACGTGGAAGCGTTTGAGCGTCTACATAGATTCCTTCTGCAATTCAGCGTGGCGTGATAAGATAGCTATCCCCCCCTATATTTCTGGTGTAGTTTTCCCGGCAGAAGGACAGTATAACTATTGGTAACAAGGTCGCGATACAGGTATATGTGACTTATTGCTAGCTCCACATGGCCAGAGCTTATGGTGAGTAAGGCGATGGCCTAATCTCCACAAGTCTGAAATGCACTATCGGACGATGTTGTGGCGCTCGTAACGCAGTACGATCCCTCCATCTCACTTCGGGACAATCCTTTCTTTTGAAGGCGATGAAGTGTGTTTTCAGCTATTCGTGAGCTCGATGCTCAATCCGGAGTCCGAAGGCCGAGCTCAAAAAGCTAGAATATTAGTGCTGACCGTCATGCTTTGGAAGCGTTACCTCTTCCTCACAATTATTATTGAAAAAGACTCTACCGCATACATTATTTGTTCGTGTTTTGACCTAACTTTGAATTAAGTTGATATTGTTCCTGAACTTCGACGCTTTGGGAATGGTGAGGTGAAGGTGGATGACAGTGGGACTTTTATTAGAGCTGCATGGTGACCCATTCCCCGTTTCCCTCGATCAGACTGGGAAGGGTGCAGTGTCAAAGCCCGATTGACAAGTTCGTATAACTTCGTGTTTGTAACTGAAAAACAACTCGCATGTGACTGTGGGACAAGCGAATTTCTAAAACCTGTTTTGATTGTGAATTCAAGCACAACTAGCAACCGAGTCATCCGTTTGGTTTTTTTCTCATTTCACTTCTTCGCGGCCAACCATGAGCGCTTAAGAAATGTTCATGTTTGGTTAGAGAGAAAAACACGGGAGAATTCAAAAGCAAATACTGCACGTGTTTATTAACACGGCATTCGTACAGGGAGTTCCGATGTTTGACTTCATAAGAACAGAACATTTTAGATTCAAGTTTCGTAGCACTGAAGCAAAAGACACGATTGAATACTTTACGTCGCACAAGCAGAAAGAAACTGATGGGAAGCCTGCAGCTTACTCATCTATAACTAATTCAGGTCAGAGAGCTGAAGAATAAATGTCAAGGTACCCTTGCCTTCAAGTGACCAGAAATTGTGCAATTGCAGAAATTGACGTGGCATTAACGTGGCATTGATTCAAGAACATTTTGAGCACACGTGATGTCACCTTTTCATCGAGGAATTCTAGCCACGTGTGCCAATGCCACGTCAATTTCTGCAGTTGCACAATTTCTGGTCATTGAAGCGAGGTAGATCCTTCTTTAACACGTTGACGACATCGCGCGTTTTGGGTTTTGCACCGCGTGGGACCAGAGCGATTTTGCGAGCGCCGCCGCCGCACACCAAATCCATGGATTTTGAGCT